TAAACCTGATATTGTTTTAGATTAAGAAGTCTGCTGAAAACTACATCAATCTCATACTGCACCAGCAGACACCAGCTACGTTTTTATATTTCAAAGGATAAGAAAACTTATTGAATTATATTTGACTTATTTTTTCCTTCCAAATTCTCCTCAGCTTCGAACACTCGTTATGTTCCTCTCTTGTCGTGGAAGAAAGCCCAGGAATCTATTCCCTGGAACATCATCCTTCTGCTCGGAGGCGGCTTCGCTATGGCCAAAGCTTGTGAGGTAACGATAAATAATATTAATAATAATCTTGTAATGAAACCTGAGAGATTATTTACTTGTTTTTCCTTTGTGAGACGAGAGCACCTTGACATGACTACACACTCAACGTGTAAATTTAATGTGCATTGAATATGTCGGCCAGCTAGTCTGGTTCAAGGGGTAAAATAATTAAAATACACTCCACTACCACACATGAACGTACAAAAACCAAAGTGTAAAAACGATAATCTAATATTACCTGGTGTACCCAGGACTTTTCAAAACAAAGTTTCAAAGTGCCGTACAAAACAAGTCGAGCTTTTCCGGACAGTGAATGAACAGGTGAACAGCTCTTCGTGCAGCAGCGGTGGTGGTGCAGCTTCAGGGTTCTGCAGATTTGCGTCTGCCCCGTTACTGCAGGTCACTTTCACAGTTTCAGAGAGAAAGCTGCAACCAGCATCACCACATGCCAAGAAAACAGGCAGTGAAGAATGGGCCGTGCATTTTTGTATGATTAATAAATACACTTTCTTTTGGATTGTGTTTGCTGAATGTCTTTCCACATACAGGATCACTGCCTCTATGTCTCTCTTCTCTCCTGTTGCCTCAGACCTGCTCTGCTCTGTCGGGTCCTTTTCTCCGTTTGGCCTTTTTTATGTTGTGATTTGATCTTTGACCCTTAACCCCTGTCTTGTGGCGTTTGGCAGGAGTCCGGCCTCGCCTCCTGGATCGGGGGCCACCTCCAACCTTTGGCCGAGGTCCCCCCTGCCGCAGCTGTGATGCTGATCACTGCTTTCCTGGCCTGTTTCACTGAGTTCGCCAGCAACACGGCCACAATCATAATATTCCTACCCGTCATTGCTGAACTGGTAAGACTGGACTTCAACTTAAAGACAGAGTTAAACTTTATTTACGTACGTGCATGTTCCTGCTGGGTAATGGACCCAGAGCAAAGCAAAAACTGATGAGCTGAGCAGGGAACATGGATTCTTGCTGACCTCATGCTTGATGTTGGTGTAAGGCTTAGTGGGTTTGTTAAACTCTTGCGGTGGATGTTCTGTTTGTAACCTGTTGGACATTAACTGCTGCTCTCAGTAATTATTATCTGGAGCTTTTGTACTTTGTCTATACTGCAAAGCACAAACTCAAACAATCGTTTACAGAACGTATAGAAGGCTTCGTCACTGAGTTGTCATTCGAGTGGAAAATATATTGGACCTTAATCACCCACAATTTCACTGACTCATCCATCCGACCCATTACCTCCGCTGTTCATCCTCAGAGGGTCATGGGGGGGTCGACAAACCCAGCTGACTTTGGATTAGAAGAACCATCACATGGAGAAACAATCACGTAGAGAACTGAAGAAGGGTGGTCAGAGGGCGTATATCTCCGCCAATGTCTGTTTTTTCAATTTATCTCAATTAGATATTGGGGGAAATAATCCCCCATCTGACTCCGCACTAAAATTCAGTGGGTTCTACCTTGACCCACACCACATCCTTCCAGTGAGGTACGTGGTATCCGTTCTGTCGTTTTTTTCGCGATCCCGCTAACAAACATACGACTCAGATGAAAACACTAACTCCTTGGAGGAGGTAACGAGCTCACAAACCTTTTCTCACTTACTTCTTACAATGTGCAGCCTGTGTGACTTTTAAATAACGTGTATGAAACTGTGTCCATCCTGAAATAGATGATTCTAGACATCATTTTTATCATTTTTCCCTCCACTGAGCGCAACAGATTTGGTTTCTTTAGATAGTTTTAGATCTGTTTTAAAATATAAAGTTTGGTTTTATGGATTTCAACAGAGTCTGTCTATACAAAATAAGAGTTTGCACCACCAACCCATCCATTCATTTTTCCCATGCTCGTCAGAGATTGGGTTGATGGTTAAGTAGAGCGTTCTAGACAGAGCTCCACCATCGACGCTCTGGCTCGTCCTGGGTGTTTGTCAGGCCTGATGGAAAACTTTGCAGCTATGTGATAACCTGTGCCGCACTGTGCCTCAACATGTGTTGGTCTTTGTCTCTGCAGGCCATTCATGTGTCAGTGAACCCTCTGTACTTCATGATACCTGCCACAGTAGGATGCTCATATGCCTTCATGCTGCCGGTGTCCACTCCTCCCAACTCCATCGCCTTTGCATCAGGACACCTCATGGTCAAAGACATGGTGAGATCATCGCCGTGGCTCTCGATGCTAATGTGATACATAGACTGTGGTTAATGGACACCCTCCTCTCTCCTCAGGTGAAGACGGGCTTCGTCATGAACATCCTGGGCATCCTCTCGGTCTCTCTGGCCATGAACACGTGGGGCGTCGCCATGTTCGACTTGCACACGTATCCAGAATGGGCTCACCCCATCAACAAGTCTGCTGCTGTTGCCGTTCAGGCGCTCAATGCGACTCTCTGATCGCTCACGGAGAAGAAGCGTCAGAGGATTGTGTAAAGATTTAACTCTAAACAGGGACTTAAGTTTGTCAGTAGACGTCTACACTGTGTCACTAAGATGTCAGAACGCTCTGGGAGCTTCAGCTTTTACCTGTCGTGATGCTTTTCATAAGTTTTTGTATTCAAGTGTCATTTTTAGGCTCTCGAGTGTTGAGATATTATCCAGAACAAGCTGTATTATTTACTCTGCCTTTTGAAAACGGGACCAGAGAAACATTTAACCTCAACAAAAATAACAACAGCTCCAGCTCTGAAGAGTTTCTTAATATATATATTTTTGAAACTCCAGTCTGACTGCAGAGGGCGCTGTTTGTACTGATGAAGAATGATGAAGAGGAGAGCGGCATCTGTGAATAATTATTTTAAAATATATATATTTCTGGTTGAAATCACTGAGATCATGTTTATCTGTTACGTGACACATGTTCAGAGAGACACAAAGTCGTGATGCATAAATAATGTTTTCTAATGAACGTGTAAATTTTGTTACAGAGTGATTTAAAGTCATGCAGTATAAACGCTGTTACAACGAAATTGTTTGTCGTGATCATTTTGTTGCATGTGTTTTTTTTTTTTTACTGCAATGACGACTCACAGCAGGTTTATTATTAGGAGAAGGAACTTTTCAGTTTGTGATAGAAACCAACAACCAAATATAGTTTTGTCAGGTGTTAATGAAATGTCGCTCTGCTCCGGCTTTAACACACATTTAAACCCTTTCCAGCCTCAGAAATAGAGACGGAGAGAGAGCACACAGTCGTAAATTCCTCGAGATATGTAGTCGGTGTTGTAAACCGCCTGAAGGACCTTACCGACAACAATAGTTAACTTGTGCTGGTTTGTGTGGTCACTCAGTGTTGGCAGGGTCAGTGCAAAAGGTCCAATCACGTTCAGATGCAAAGATAAATCACTCAGCTAAACCCACAGACTCAGACACCATGCACCCCACTGTGACTTTCAATAGATTCAATGCATGTGTGTGTGTGTGTGTGATCCAGAAAACATTTGTTAAAAACAGTGAAATATTGATTATAATGTAATTCAGATTTTACACTGTGACTTTCGAGGCTGACGTAATGTGGGCCTGACCACTATTCATAAGACCTGGAACAAAGTGAAGTGTACAACAGGAAGTGGATCAGCACTGAGCCTGAGTGCAGACGAACTGATAAACTTTCCCACCATAAGCAGATTACAGTGAAAATAATAAAAAAGAAAACTGTTGAGTGGACTGGGCCTTTCAATAAACCGTGTGGTCACACTGGTGATGACAGAATCAAACACGACAGATGACATCAAACCACAGTTGGATAAGTGTGACCTGTCACATTGTTTGTGTGTCTGTGGGTGTGTGTGGTGCGTCATGCCTCGGTGTGAGTTTGTGTCATGTTTTGTTTCACACAGAGCAGAGATGTCTTTACATTTCTGATATGGGAACTTGCAGGCGACACACAAACACCAACATGATTGTGACTGTTCAGTGAAGTTCCCTTTTTTACCTTCGCAGCTCTCAAACACTTCCCAGTTATTTCTCCTCTAGTGTCAAAGAGAATGAAGTTTGTCACGGACACTGTTATTCCTCCTCTCAGGTAAGATTCTTCTTATTTCCAGCATTTTCAATAGTCGAATGACTTCCTCAAGGATGTTACAATTTATTATTCTCTATTGATTTATTGATTGTTTAGTTATTATACAGAGACAGGGTTTATATACAAGTTTTTGATCTTGAATGTGTCTTTCGTGAATAATTAAAAATTGCAGGATTATGTTTGTATTTATAATGTCATAGTGTTATTATAACAATCCAACCAACTTTAAATCACCTAACTCTTGAATGTGTAAATAAACGACAACCACAAAACTTTGTTAATAACTTCAACTTCAACTTTATTGTCTCCGAGGAGAAGTTTGTTTTGCAGTGAGTCAAAAAAAATGTAAATACTCACAGACTCGGGCACAAGAAAGGAAAAAATGTAAATACATAAACACGTGAATACATCGAATAACAACGGAAAAACCATGAGCTTGTGTCTCAGTCATCTGGAGTGAAGAGGAAATCTCTAATCAACTTAGTCATCAATAGAATGAAATAGTTTGATGGCCTGAGTTATAATTTACATGTTCAACCTGTAACAGTTAAACTATTTTACCATAAAGACTGGAAACAGGCAGAACCAGCTAACCTGGCTCTGGTTCCTGTATTTCTAAACCTCGATGATTAACTTGCTGCAGCCCATTTGTTTTATCGGCGTAGTATTTATTGGTACAGTGGACTTCCTGGCGTCTTGCCGACACTATGGAGCTGCAGGGAACCAGCAGAGATAAGAGGTGCTGGTGGAAACATTTGACCTTTGGATAGAACCAGGTTAGCAGTTTCCCATGTTTCCAGTCTTTTCTACACCAACTAGCTGCTCAAGGTATTTTCTTGTTCAGCAAACAGACATGAGATCGATCATCTCATCCATCTCTCAGCAGTGCAACATATTCTCTATCTTTGTTCAGATTGTATTTTTTCTACCCAGCAGGAGCAGAAAGGGATCTCGCAGACAGTCTTTAAAATCTGTCCTGCTTTATCTCTGGGACGTTTACTCTGCACCTTCACCTGCAGGCAGAGACGTCCTGACTCTGCTCTCCCTCTGTTTCACACTGACCATCATCACCGGCGGCCTGCTCTATCACTGGCTGTCCAAGACTCTGAGATATGACCATGAGGCGTCCGTTCAGACCACCTGCATCTACAGCGTGGCTATGTTTCTGGTCTCCTTCCTGGTCCACCCTCTGCGCTGTGTGCTGACCATGATCCTTCCCACCGTGTGCACCAAGCAGGGACGCAAACTCCTCATCTCAGCCTCTGTCATGATCTTAGTGGTGAATGTCATCCCAAACATCACGGTGAACGTGGGGGCAGTGGCTCACATCTTCAAGTGCACCGCTGAGGGATTCACAAAGACTTTACTTAACTCATCTGAACCCTTGAACAAGGCAAAGCGAGAGCTTATTGAAGAAACCATCAAAGTGAGGAGGGAAGATCTGAGCATCGTCACTAATTTAAGGAAGCTAGACCACTTCACTCATGTTGACGTGTCGGAGGTCAAAAGCAGGATTAATAACATGATTGGACAGATAGAGGTCACCTTCTCGTACTCCAGGAACCTGCTAAAAGACTGCAAACTGCTGTCGAACCGGATCCTCGCTGGCATTTTCGTTGCTTTACTGATCCTTGAATCTTCGCGCTACTTGAAATCATATCTCACGTCAGTTCAGTTTGACAATGGCGACATCTCCAAAGAGCTGAGGAAAGAATCATCTTCTCCTGGGGAAGAAGGACCAGTGCAAAATGAAAGCAGGCTCTCAAACTGTAAAATAACAAAACAGGAATGTGCCTCTTGCTTCATATCACTGATCATGGTAACATTGTATTTCATCGCCATAACTGCAATAGTAGCTTTGGATCATGTTGTATATCATATAGTTCAGGTGATGGTGCCCTGGTTACTGGATTTCCCACCTACATCTGCCTGCATTAGTGTCGATTATAAGGTAAGACAGCACAAAGACTGTTTCACCGCTCTAGCTCGATTTTCCTACCTGCAGTTTCCTAACGTTAACATTGCTCTCGTTTGTTTTAGGTTCAGTGGTTCGCCCCTGCATTCTGTCTCATCCCTCAATCCTGCCACACTCAGGAGCTGACAAACTTCCACAGGGACTACAAGTGGACCTTCAGCCCCGAGCCATCGCTCTGCGACGTGACGACTTCGGCTCCGAACCTGGGAGTCACGCTCCTGCTCGGATGTCTCTGGCTGATGAGCTACTCCCTGGTGTTCCTGGAGGTTTATGCAAGACGTCTGCGCAGGAAAATCTCTGCGTCCTTTTTCAGAGAGCAGGAGGAGCAGAGAATGGCTCACCTGCTGAAGAAAATACAAGCAAAGCAAAATATGACAGACTGCTGGTTTATTTTAAAGGAATCAACTTAAATACATGTCACTTGTAAACCTAAGAATACCTGAAAAACTAGACTTACTGTTTGGCAAACTTTAGCACAATATTCTGAGCTCATGCTGTGTCCGACTTCTGCCTCACAACACGACTATGATTTAACCTCATAACCCACACTTTTTATTTTCAGTTGCGTCACACACTAGTGCTCTTAAGTTCTGTTTCGTCTTTCACAAAACATAAACTAATGAAAGCTTCCTGTGTGTGATTCATTATCACCTTTCCCTCTGTAAGCGCACTCGACAGGATCCTCAAAGACGTTCACATCAGGCCTGATGGGGTTTTTATAGATGTATCACAACATCTGCTCAGATTGGACCTTGCTTGTTTGACACACACAGGGTATTTTTTTCATTGCTTTGTGTGTAATGTTCTTTTCCTCTTGTCTGTGATGGTTTCTTTTACTCCTCACTCCCACTAGATGCCACTGTTGTGCTTCAGACAAATGAGAAATAATATTGTAACTCCTACATGAACACCCACACACTGGATCTGACCGTTTTAGATAACCTTTAATAATCTGGATGAATCTACTTCATGAGCACATCACCAGCCTATTTCTGTTTAGTTTCTTACAAAAAAGAAAATCACTTCCTTTCTCTGAAAACGTCCTTTGAATACATCCCTGCTTAAAATTCCCATGAGGCATTAGGGGTTTATTTTAAGACCCAGGATAATAATAGAATACGTCCTTATCATCTATTTTTACTCGTGACTACTTCATGATTGTGTCAAAATGCAGCAGTCTGTCTGTGTACAAATGTAAAAGAAATAATTAATTAAAAACAATAAATAACAATTTATATATTTTCTGTTGCTATGAAGTGTGAAACTTCTAGACTCATTATCATTGGAAATGCACAGATGGGTTATTGTTATAATGTAAGAAAAGAATATCCTTCAACATCCAATTTCTCTTTATTCATTTCTCTTAAAATCTACTCTTGCCACTCCTGATCCTGTATTTATTCAGTGTCTCCTTATTTCAGCTGTTTATTCAAGTTAAATATTAAAGCTGCAACATTAAAAGTAATCAAAATATCCTAAATGTCTTGTTTTGCATAAATTCCTCCCAAATGTGGTGGAAATTCAATAAAGTTGTTTAAGACCAAGTAGTTTTTTTGTCAGTTTTATTCAGGCTTTTGCAAAATGGGTCAATCCTTCAGCAGGTGTCTGAGCTAAAAGACAGAGTAAGTATGGACACATATTATTGAAGTTTCTCTCCCATGCAGGTCTTTTATGCACAGAAGCTTCTTCCGTCTGTGCATAAAGCAGAAACTGTTAAATAATAAAGATATAAATGAAGATAAAAAGATATTTCTCTGCTCACTCTAACCAGTCGAGGCAGATGGCCGTCCACATCGAGTCCGGTTCTACTCGAGGCGTCTTCCTGTAAAAGGAAGCACTTCTTCCTCTCCACAGTCGCCAGTTGTTTGCTCGTTGTGTAATTTACAGTTTGTTGTGATTTTGCTCCATTGAATTGATATTAAATGAATTGAAGTCAGTTGAAGATGCAGTAGTTGTGCAACACAATATTTGTCACCTGTCATGTGTTAGAAGCTGACAGTCACAATCTGTTTTTTATAGCTTATATTTTTCTTTTGCACGATGATTTTTAGTTTTACCTGATGTTTTCAGCTGTCAGAAGCATGTATCGACACAAACAGTCAGACTGTCAGCGGCTGGGAAAGCTTTTAAAATGTCACAGGAATAACAAGAATCTAATGATGTGAATTCCCATTTGTCCCTTAAGAGACAATACATTTTTCTACCCTCCTGAATCTGTGCACGACCAAACAATCCAGAGATGTCATTTTGTCTCCCTTTGCACAAGGTGAAGTGTTACCTCTATCAGTTCTGCTTGGGGCAAACAAAGGTCAGCTTCGCAATTAAAGCCATTTCAATTGAACAGCCAGTTCCTGCAGTTGATAATGTGTTGAATCGCAGACAACTTCCTCAGTCCTTTCAATAATTGCAGAGTTTATTGCTCCAGCCATGGCCACAGTGGGTGACATGACGTTCTGAGCTTGGATAGAGAAGTGGAATTGATTTTCAAGTTGGTGGCTGAGCACGGCGTTGTGTTGTGCAGTGTGGATCTGCTGTGATAGTGTGTGTGATGTGAGAGGGAGTGGTGGGAGACAGCAAGGGAGAGAGGGAGAGAGAGAGACACATGAGTGGAGCGGCGCTGGAGGACGACAAAGCAGTCATCTGTGTTTCTTGGTTGATTGCACCTGAGTGCTGTGACCATGTCAGAGTGAGTGCTGCCTGAGCTGTAAAAGGATGGTAAGCTTTCAGTTCTCTTCTCTTGAAAATATATATTTATTCTCGGAATGGTTTTTATTGTCTTGACTTGAATCAACTGTAAATCATTCAGGAATTTATTTCTGCTTTATTTCAGAAAGGGTTAGGGCACTAATTCTTGTTAAAAGCAGGGGAGGCTCTTTTTTATTTTACTCACCACAAAATCTTTATCTTACATTTTGAAAGGGTATTTTAAGAAAAGGATCAGGTTTTGCTTTATTGTGTGCAGGTTTTTATTATATTGTATATAGAGGGAAAAAACATGCCACTGTTTCAGGGCTCAATTTAAATAATAGGATTATGGATATTAGTCTTTAAAACTTTAACTCTCTCTTCACTATACTCCAACATAGAAGTTTAAAGTTAAAGATGTCATATAATGTTGGCCTTATATTCAATGTCTATGTTTAAACATTTAATAGGAAGTCGCTGAAAAATTATTATATCTTCTGTATGGAATGTATTTGTGACATGTTTCATAACTTTAAAATAGGTTGTTCCACTTGAAATGTGCTCATTAGTTTTTGTGAAAACAAAATATTAATACATCAACACCTTTTTGAGTAAACAGTATTTACAAATCCAGGAACTACAGAGGAATATAATTCATTCAGACTTCTGTTGCCACCACCTGATGAATGTAACTCCATCATTCGTGCTCTTTTCTGGATTCCACTGAGGAAAATATTTGGTTCTTTAGTAGCTTGATGCCCCACGATGTCCACCAGCTGGTAGAAACACCAGAACTAAAAACAAATCAACTCTCATCCACCTCAAAAGATTTTGAACTCTTCCTAAATAGTCTAAATTTCTTTGCATTTCTGTCTTTAGGATTCTTGTTTTGTGCTCCTGGACATCAACTGAATTGCATTTGAACACGATGGAGAACAACACGACCATCTTCCGAGATGTCCCCCAGGTTTTAAATCTGACAGAGATGCCTCTGAACCCTCTTGAAGAGCAGGTCATAACAATATGTTTGACGATGCTCATCTGTGGAGTTGGGATTGCCGGGAACATCATGGTGGTGCTGGTTGTGCTGCGCACCAAACACATGGTGACACCGACCAACTGTTACCTCGTCAGTCTGGCTGTCGCAGACCTCATCGTGCTCCTGGCTGCGGGACTTCCTAATATCTCTGACGCTGTAGCCTTCTGGATATACGGCTACACAGGATGCTTGTGTATAACGTACCTTCAGTACCTGGGCATCAACGTGTCGTCCTGCTCCATCACGGCGTTCACCATTGAACGATACATTGCAATATGTCACTCCATAAAGGCGCAGTTCATATGCACCGTGTCCAGGGCCAAGAGGATCATAGCTGGAGTCTGGGTCTTCACCTCACTCTACTGCATTATGTGGTTCTTCTTAGTGGACACGGATGAAACCGTCTATACCAACGGAGTGGTGGTGACTTGTGGCTACCGTGTCTCCAGGAGTCTCTACATGCCAATATATTTCCTGGACTTCACCCTGTATTACGTGATCCCCCTCATTGTGGCCACTGTCCTGTACGGACTCATCGCGAGGATCTTATTCATGAGTCCTCTGCCGTCGCATCTCAACGACAGAGCAGGAGGAGGGTCGGTTCACCAGGGTCACTCCAACAGCAGCAACAAGGTCAACAAGGGTGCGGTCTCTGCTCGGAAACAGGTACTGTAGAGGTCGGACTAACAGTTCAAAACAAATACAAGAAAACTCCATCTATATAAGAATATATTGAGGAGGAATCTCCTTTCTCTGATAGACCTCTCTAAAAAAAACCTTGCTAGGGTCAGAATCTTGATTATTTCCTCCTTCTTTATATATTTAAAATCATAAGGAAACAATGACGATGTCAATGGGTTGGTTCACTACTTTGGTCCAGACTGAAATATCCCAACTGGACCTTTATGGTCATCTGGCAAGCAGATGTGAGGAGTCAGGCTTTTGTGTTTCGTTTACCACAAACATGTTTCAATCAATCCACGACTAATAATAATAGTAATGGTGTAACCCATAATACTTTCTGTTGTTTACCCAGCTACATACGTTCGTTTCGAGCATGAATGCGAATCATGTTCTGCCGTCACGGCTCGTGTCACGTTAGCAAGCAGCCTCTTAGTTCGCTTATGCCTCCGGCTTCTTAGCACCACCATGTGGTTAACATTTTTGATTCTGAGTATTATGTCTTGATAACAATTGATGAACTGTGAAAAGCTTAATTTTTCTAGAGACCTGGACAGGCAATGGTGTTCCCATCAGCCTCGGCTGTCAAGCGCTTGTTAGCAAATGTTAGCATGCTAATGCTCTAAACTAAGATGGTGATTCCTCATCAGAGGTGTTTGGTATTTGGTCAAATATCTTCCTTAAACCAAACTAGTTTTCGGACAAACGTGCATCATGAAATGTTATCTAGGAAGAAAACTGACTAAAATCTATCCCCATGTTTAAAAAAGAGCTTTTCAATTCTCTATAGAAGAAACATTTCAGCCTTCCAATGTGAACGATCTTTCAGATGCACATTTTCTAGCATTACCCGACCTTTAGCATTGTATTTGTGACCTTGTGAGCATACTGACATTAGCATCTTAGTCGTTCGTTACAGCCTCACTCAGCAGCTAGCAGGGCTGCAGATTCTTGCATTAACATTGAGTCATACAGTAAGTCTGGTAAGATGTTATAATTGCACTCTTCCTCATTATTGTCGCAGGATTTCATCATTCTTTTCTTTTCTTTTCTTTCCTCGCTCCTCCATCTCTCTCACTCTGTATCAACAGATAACGAAGATGCTGGCTGTGGTGGTCATCCTCTTCGCTTT